TACGATTATACCTTTAGTTTTAGACTTTAGTCATGAACAATATAGGGTATATTTGGTTTGCAGTACTGTACTAAATGAGCAAATTGTGTTTTTATGGAAATGTCGTGTGTTTGGTTTGATTTAAGAGAGGGGTAGTGCATTAAAATTTAAAGAATAAATTTATTCACCGACGGGTTTCTTTGCACTGCAAAAGAAAATTATAATTTTTTTTATAAAATAAAATTTAAAGAATAAAAAATTAGCCAATAGAATTACTGACCAGCCGCCACGGTAGGATTTGGCATTTGGGCACTATCGCTAATGTCATTGGATAGGCCATTGGCATTGGGTTATCTGTCAAATGATGCAAACGAAAAAGTCGTCGATGCGACATTTCCCCAAAAAATGTCAAAGAACTAAAGAAGATTTTTGGAAAGTTTTCTAGCGAAATACTGTCATTGGCGGCTTCCCCATTTGTATTGTTGGGTAGGTAGTCATTGACCTCATAATCCATTTTTTATCTAAAATATTTATTATTGTTGATGTTTCATTTTCATATCACAACCTCGCCCGTGTAAAATACTAAGTAGCTCTTAGAAATTATACATGTTTAATTTGAGATTTGGATTACAGTCACAGTTGAATACAAGGACTTAATAATAAATGAAACAGTAAAATTTTTTATAGTGGTTCAAAAGCTTAAAGCGATTCCTACATCTTTTTTTTTTATATGAGTGTTCTTGGTTATTAGCCAAGTTACAAGAGGTCGCGAACTGTGAACAGAATTACAAGAGTTTGGTATTCAGAGAAAATATTAAGTCAATCTCTTTCTCGTGGGTTGTTTTTACTATTTTTACTGTTAAAATCAAAAGATTGTGATTTTATGAGTATGAGTCCTCTATTCATAGCTCCTGAGTTCAAGATAATGATTACAAGTCTGCAAGTAGATAGGTACCGTGTAAGTCTTACCTTATATCCCATTGGCTAATAACTTAGGAAATATCTTTAAATTATATGGGGCTTAGACATGTGTGCGGATCTCATTCATTCACAGACAAAACTTGAGCCTGCTGAGTTGGTGACAGTCGTATATACTTTGTCTTGAGGCGACGTGGCACATTCCAGGTTACGCAAAGCCTTCCTGAACACTGATTGGTGCGCGCTAATTTAAGCTTATGTCAATCCTAATTTTTTAGGCATAACGATTATTATTTATTTAAATATTTTAAATATTTTAAGAATTTAATTTTTTAAACAACATATCTTCAGTTAGATAATTAATTATACATATAGTCCAGTGTTACACACGAAAAACAAGACTATATTGTAATTAATCTACTCCAATATTTGTATTTAATTCACTTCAATCCAGTACAAAATAATCAATCCAATAAAGTACATACCGCAAACACATCCTATGACATTTTTTAACTTGATTTAGAGGCAAAATTTGGCATGTAAAATCAAATTGGAATCAAGTAGGACAAAATCCCAATATGGGAGGGGCAAAGATGATTTACATATAGTTTAAGGATGGAAAAAAATCATCCCCAAATTGTTTTCAGCTGAATTCTTGAAAACCGTTTAAAAAAACTTGTTCTTTCTTTCTTTTCCCTCAGTCCTTCCCGTTTTCTGACCATTTGCTCCTAGATATCCACAACGAAAAGAGCACGTCTTCTTCCCTTCATGTAGTTTGAGGGCTTACGTTCTCTAAAGGATGACCAAAGTTTGTCATGCCTTATCGCTCTATAGAATGCGTCTAGAGCATATGGGTGTTTGGCGGCTCCCATTTACGTCACTTTCGGAGTGAAATGTGTAGCAAAACTACGGAGGAATTTTGGTATTCAAACTTTGTCTCAAACTTTGGTATTCAGAAAGTAGCAAAGTCCCAACAACAAAAATCAAAGTAATCCACTTTGGATTTTGCACATAAGATAGTTCTACAATAGCACATGGCAATAGTGTTGGGATCATACTCACATCAAGTTCAATTTCGAAGCCTTAAACCATGAATCACAGTATGAAACCCTAATAGCTAGGTTAAAGCTCGCTTTGGAATGGAGTGCATGAAGGGTTTTGATCAAGAGCGAACTCGCAACTAATAGTCAGCCAAGTCAATGTAGAGTATCAAGCCTAAGAAGATAATAGATAATATACCGGAAGATTTACATATAATTGCTTAGGAGAATTGAAAAATTTAAGCTTGAATAAGTCCCAAGATTCAAAACTCTAGAGTAGATGTGTTAGCCGAATGGCCTATGCTTCTGATAGCACAGTTGTAAAGAAAATACCCCCGCAAATTGTCAACAATCCAAGTATGGCTCAGCCAACAAAAGTAATGGACATTGAAAACACGCAAATTGAAAGAGGAAAGTAATAAGTCAAGAGATCCAGTCCAAATAGGGAGTTAGATCTTCAAAACACTCCTAGACCACTCAGTATCCTTTAGATGAGCCGTATCCCCACTCACTTAAAACCCTAACTATTTCTACTTCACTATATAAAGGAGGCTAAAGGCATGGAATGATTACGTTAATTCGCTCTTGGAAAAGCCTCACACTTCGAGCATTCCAAATTGATCTTGACCGCAGCCTGTTCAGCCTCTAACCCTACTTAGCCGCGGGAACCCTTTAGTTTTGCAGGGAGCTGATAGCAAAGCATTCCATCAAAAAGCATATTAGAAGGTCAACATGGCCTAATTAAGGGCAAAATGTGAATTTTATGTGGTGAGAAATTTCGGCATCAAGAAATGTTAATACATATTTAGCGATATTAAATCTCACTTTTTACTTTTTTTTATTAACGAACCATCCTAAAAATTAACAACAAAAAGAAAATTCTTATAACTAAAAATTTAATAAATCATTAAAAGGGTTATTATAGATTGGAAGACACTTTAAAAAAAAAAAAAAAAAAAAAAAAAAAAAAAAAAAAAAAAAATAATATATAATAATATATATATATATTATATATATATATTATAAATATATATATTATATATAATATATATAATTAAGGAAAAAAAAGAAATAAATTTCATTTTTAACAATATCAGACACCTTATTAATCAAATGACACTTTTTAGTGAAATAGTGGTTGTTTATTGATAAATTTTTGAAAAAGCGTATGTTTATTAATAGAAAGTATCCGTTGATTGATAAAAGTGTCATTAATTGATACAATTAAAACGTATCCTTTTTATTTAGTTTTAAAAAAAGGTGTTCTCCAATTGATATAACCCTTATTAAAGTGATTATTATATATTAAAAATAACAAAAAGAAATTATATAATGATAATGTTCACCCTTTGCTCATCTAGACTGTCATCTATTTTCAATAATTGATTAGGATTCAATGTTTGATATGATACCTAAAATGAAAACAAAGAGACGTGCTTGGTAGAGTGTTTTTTTTTAAAGGAAAACATATAATGTTATCAATATAAATATCTTAGTAATATTTATAATAATTTCAAATTTTGAATAAAATTACTTCTAGAAATAAAGAAGACAATGAATAGCTTTTTCTCTTTATTATCGAGTAAAAGCAGTATTTATTTTATGCAGTTTGATTGAAAACAATGTAATAGGCAACACAAATTGTACCAATATTAATGAAAATGTCATGCACGCCATCTATTTTCAAAAAGGTATATTTTGTGCAATTTGATTGAATATCATGGAAGTCAACATTGAAGAAAAATAAGAAACCTTCCATTAATTTAGAATAAAAAAGATTAGAAAAAAAAAGAATGTTGTTCATTATTCAAATATAAACATATTTTAATAGGTTCATCCAAAATCATATTTGTTGAACCATCATGTGTTTTGATGTATCGAAACTAATCAAAAAAATGTTTAAAGAACTAACAAGTGTGCAAAAGTATGACATAAGTCATAGTCAAAATAAAAATGCAGTTTTCATGTGAAACAACCGTTTACGCAGATAAAACGTCCGTTCCAGTCAGTTATTCTGGAAAATAATTCCCAATGAAACTGTTTCTAAAATATTTCTAAAAAATAGAGAATATGTGATAGACCATTTTGTAACTTATATACTTCAAGAGTAACATGTGAAAAAAGCTAGTAAATCAACGATTATGAGGTTCACGAATGGATTTGCTAAGGATGATGAAATAGAGAGATAATAGGTAAACGAAGAGTGAAAACAAGGATCGTAAATGGAGGTTAAAAAAAAAATACAGAGAAAGAAACATCGTATTGGTAAAAGAAAGAGCTCAAAAGTGTAAACCCCTATTTTCTTGGCTTTGACAACCACCTCAACTGTAAAGACATAAACCGAATGCATTTTGACTTGTAAAATTATAAGGTTGAATGTAACATGTATCAGATAATAGGTTTTTACAAAATTAGCATGACATAATTTTATATAAAATCATTATATTTATAAAAAATAGATACATACAAGGTAATAAAGAAATGTATTATTTTGATACTAAAATAGTAATATATAATATATAAATTGTAATGTAACATTTTTTTTCTAAATCTATACAAACATAATAATAACAGATGAAATAAATAATTAACATATATATATGAAACTGAACATCCACAACATCATAATTTAACATATTATTTTTGTTCTTGAATAGATGAGATTTCTAATACTAACGTCACTAGGAAATCAATTTTAAATAACATTTTATTTTAAAATTAGTATTCACTTTCATATAAAAAATCATATTTGTATAATGTTTTTTTTTCTTTTAAACACACTTCTTAAAATTTTATATAAATTCACACTGAAAAAAAAAAAAGGTCAAAAGACCACAGGGGGCCAACCCGGTCTGCATTATTGGGCCTAATGGGCTTTTAAGGCAGAACGTTCGGCAGGCCCTGTTTGGTAATTTCTTCTACCGCCCTCAAATCTTCGCTCAATCTTTCAATCCCATTCAAATTCGTAGTTGAGTCGTCGTTGAGCATATATAAACCCCCCAACCAACCCTCCACTCGGGACACTCAATTCCGAAACAAATAACAAATAAATTAATTAATAATTATAAATTTTAATTGAATAAAAAAAAATAAAAATCACGAACTCCTTTTAATTATTTTAAACAACCGTACCAAACTTTTAACATTCTCTTAATGTTACTCTTTAATTCTTTTTCTTTCCCTTCTTGTTTTCTCGCCATCCAAACACTCGTTTAGACTATTTCTCTAGGGTTTATCCGATCGTGCGCGCCATGGACTCCGAGGACGACGATTTCTACAGCGGCGAGGCAATGGATGACGAGAACGACTACTACAACACCGACGACGCCGCTTACGCAGACGGATACGATGATGAGGATGAGGACGACGACGATGATGATTACGAGTTCATGGAGGAGGTCGATGAGGAATACGTCAGTCGTCAGCAGGTTTGGCTTGGTTTGTTGAATTTTTTATTTAGTTCGAATTTCTTGTTTGGTTGCTGAGAAATTGAGGGTTTTGAACTTAGTGTTGCTTTGGTGGTTATGATTGCGGGAATTTTAAGTTTAATTGGTTTAGGTATTTGAGTGGTGGTTGAATATATTTTTTTTCTTTCTTCTTTTTAACTTTTTTGGTTTTTCGTTGATGGTTTTTTCGTGGAAAGATTATTCCTGTTGTTTGATTCGAAGGGAAAGGGCATCATGGTGGTCTGATATGTGGAGGATGCAAGGGGAAATCGTTTATTTATTGTTATTATTATTGCTCCATTGTGTGGAATTTGTGATTTCTGCTTTTTGAGTTGGTAAGGTGAGTTGGGTTGTGCTGTTCTCTTGTGTTTTTATGCTGATTTAGAAGCCTAGAGGATTCGTCAAGGAAAGAAGGTAACTGTGCCATGAATGTGTGTGGTTGTGGCTGTTCTTTGGGTATTTGGTAGGAAATAAGCCGGAGAGTCTTTTAAGGTAAACAGAAACAGTTCTTATTGGAAATTGGACATTCTTTGGGTCTCAACTTCAAGGAATTTTGGAGAAATTCCTTTTCTTCTTCACTTGTTGGGATTGAGATAGCATTTGCTTGTGATTTGGGTTGTTGGGTGTCTGTTATGGCTGTTTTTCTGTTGTATGATGGAAAATTGGGTGAGGGCTTCGGTCTTGGGGAAAACAGCAGAGAGTACTTTCAAGTGAAAAGAGCTTGCGGTAGAAGAGCAATTGTTTTTTTATCTCTATTGCAGTGTTTATGGAATGGAATGAGAAACTGGATTAGTGAATCTGCTTTGTGTAAGTTTGGTTTGGTGTGCCTTGTTTGATTTGAGTGTTATAAAGAAGTTCTGGATTAGGTGGGTAATATGGTTGGGTTTGGAGTTGAAACTGTATTGACTAATTCTCTCTGTTTGCTTTATGAGGATTTTGAGTTCTATGTATTCAAATTGTTCTGTTTCAAGCTTTATTGGGTGAATGTAGAATCTGACAAACATAAATTAGATACAAAGAGATTTGAATTGGGGTTATATCTCGTCACCCTACAACTCCCTTACATTTGCCCTTTCAAAATGTTTGTTTTGTTTCCAAGCAGTGGAAAGAAAGAAGCAGAAAGAGAAAATGGCATTGGATTTTTTCTTTTTAAATATCTTTCATAATATGAGGAGCAGTAGGAATGATTTTTTCGGTTCAGTTGAGTTATTTTGGATACATCTTGAAAAAGTGAAGTATGTATTAAGAGGAAAACCTTGATTTAGATAAAATCACGAATTTAATTTTTTATTGTAAATTATGCAATATAACTTTTATTCGTTTAAACTCTAATGCTTGACCCTGGTTGATTGGTTCTGCTGTATTCCTTTTGTCTCTTTCAAATTTTACACGTGTGGTTTTCTGTTTCAGCAAAGTTACACAGTCTTAAAAGAAGAGGATATACAACAACGTCAGGAGGATGACATTACAAGAGTTTCCATTGTCCTTTCAATATCAAGGGTAGATGCTAGTATCTTACTCCGTCAATATAATTGGTAGGTCATCCCCCTTTTGGTGCTTGTCAGCTGTAATTTCTTGTTGGGTTGATATTCTGAAAAAAGTGGTGGTCATTTCAGGAGTGTTAGTAGGGTGCATGATGCGTGGTTTGCTGATGAAGATGGAGTGCGAAAATCAGTTGGCTTGTTGGACAAACCAGTTTTTCAATTTTCCAATGCTAAAGAAGTATGCCATCTGTGTCTATGAGTGCGAAGTTTTTACTTTGATTGTGTTACTCACTTTCTTGCTCTGTTTTTTTTTTTTTTTTTTTTGTTCCTTACTGACAATACACTAATTGTTTCTTTGGTCAGCTAACTTGTGGGATTTGTTTTGAGCCCTATACTCGTGACAAAGTCATGTCAGCTGCTTGTGGTCATCCCTTTTGTTGTACATGCTGGAAAGGTTTGTCTTTTATGCCATTATTTAAATCCTGTTGCTGATATTCTATTCTTTGTTTTCCCGCACAAATCTGTATGATGTTTTTTACGGTATCAAATCTTCATATATATATTTTCTAATTGTTCGTTAATGTTTTCTCTCTTACAAATTGCTTTTGTAGGCAACTTTATACTTCTGCCTTAGTGATTTTTTCTTTTCTTTTGTCTTATCATGAACATGCTGGTGTTAGTCATATTCATGTATCAACTACATTTTGTTAGTTGATGCATCTAATCAAACGATTGCTGTAGAATTCAAATCTTTCTTCTATCCTTCTCTAAGTCTTTTCCACTTCCTGTAGTCCTTTTTCCTATGGGTTTTTATGCTACTTTTGTATTTTGTGATAGGTTATATTAGTGCAACGGTTAATGATGGTCCTGGATGTTTGATGTTGAGATGCCCTGATCCATCTTGCCGAGCTGCTGTTGGTCAAGACATGATCAACATGTTGGCTTCTGCTGATGATAAGGAGAAGTATACTCGTTACCTTCGTAGATCTTACGTTGAAGACAACAGGAAGGTATGCATGGAATTAGAAGCTTTTCATTTTTATTATCACTAACCCCTCTACAAGTACTGGTTGACTTCTGAATGATCGGAAGTGAAGCAACTTATTTTATTTAGCCCACACTGTGACTCCTTTTACTTTGATCCGGAAAAGCATTCAGCCCCTTTAGTTTTCATCAAACAATCAAGTTCATGAACTCAAAGAAACATATATGTGGATCTTTGTGTCTCACTTTCTGTTGTATTATACTACTAGTCATTGGTGGTTCTCTATCTTTCTTCTTTACTCAATTTGTTGTAACTTTATCACCAACTCTACTCTATCTTATTTTGATTATGTACTCATGTGTGTACAGAATTTCCCCTTTACAATTTGAATATCATGTACATTTAAGTATCAACTCAATTTGTTCTCTGAATGTCTGATATCCTCTTTGATAGTGGATACTCATATATGTTTAAATCTGGAGGGTTGTCTTAGATATCACTTGAAGCATGAGCCTTATTTGCCCTAAGCAATACTAGAATCAAATGTTATGGATCTACATTATTTCTGTGCATCAGATTAATCTAAAATATCAACTCAATTTGTTCTCTGAATGTTTGATATCCTCTGTGATAGTGGATGCTCCAATACATTTAAATCTGGAAGGTTGTCTTAGATATCGCTTGAAGCATGAGCCTTATTTGCTATAAGCAATACTACAATCAAATATTATGTATCTACATTATTTCTGTGCATCATATTAATCTAACATTAATCTTCAGCCTGTCTTACTGTCTATTTTCGCCCCAAATATAACCCAAGTTTGCTTCTTTCCATGTTTCCTGTGATTGTTTTCCATGTAGTTCTGACTGCTGTTATATTCACTTTGTTTACTGCCAGACCAAGTGGTGTCCTGCTCCAGGGTGTGACTATGCTATTGATTTTGCTGCTGGAGGTGGAACTTTTGATGTTTCTTGCTTATGCTCTCATAGTTTTTGCTGGAATGTAAGTTTCATTTTCTTTTTTCCTCTCAAAAAATCACTATGATTATATTCTTAGAATTATTGGATGTATGTTATTGAACTGCAGTGCACTGAAGAAGCTCATCGTCCAGTTGACTGTGGCACTGTGTCGAAGTGGATCCTGAAGAACTGTGCCGAGTCTGAGAACATGAACTGGTTGAGCATTTATAATGCATTAAGAATTGTTTGTTTCATTGGAAATTTAGTGAGATAGAATTATTGATATATTGATGTCTAACTTTTGTTGCACTACACTAATTTTGATGTGATAATTTTCAGGATACTAGCCAATTCTAAGCCCTGTCCAAAGTGTAAGCGACCAATTGAAAAAAATCAAGGGTGCATGCACATGACATGCTCACCACCTTGTAAATTTGAATTCTGTTGGTAAGCTTCTAAACCAAAGCTAATTCATAAGTATGCTTGCCTCTATTTTAATGAATTTTTGTCATTGAATTGGACATATCAAGAAATTTATTTGTGAAATATTCGGCACTTTATGTTGTATATACTAGAAAACCATAAATATAAAAAGAGTGCCTTTTTTCCCCATTTATAGCTACCATTTTGTTATGTGCACATATTATTTGACTCCTGTTATTTGGATGCAGGCTCTGCCTTGGTGCATGGTCAGACCATGGTGAAAGGACTGGTGGTTTCTATGCTTGTAACCGTTATGAGTCAGCTAAGCAACAGGGAGATGTAAGAGAAATATTGATCTCTTTTTAATAATTTGCTTATCGTATCTGCAAATATGAGCTAGCAATTTGAAAGTGGCTGATTTTGTGCTCTTTGACCTACAATTTTCACATCTTTGCTTCTAGTATGATGAGACTGAGAGGAGAAGAGAGATGGCAAAGAATTCTCTGGAGAAATACACTCATTATTATGAACGGTGGGCGAGCAATCAATCAGTAAGTAAATTTTCTTCCTGATTCAGTTTCTATGCTATGATATGAGTTGATTCTCTCTCTCTCTCTCTCTCTCTCTCTCTTTCTCTCTTTTTTCTAAGTTATTTTGTTGTCACCGTTACTTCTCCCAACCAAAGTTTTCTTGACACCTAAACGTATTGTTCTTGTCATAAAGTGTTTTTGATGCAAATTTTTAAACTGGAAATATATTACTACCCATATTGTATATCACAATAGAACTAAACTTCTTGGGTCCACAGAAGACCACCATGTACACTTCTTGTATTGAAGGTTTTTGTTGTTTGATGTAGTGCTTTTCAAATATACGTAAATAAGTGAGGGAGCCTTCAGGATTGGGAGCACTTTATTAGACATTGCCTTTTGAAAAAAGTACTTTCTTCAAAACCTCTAAAATATTTTCTGGAAAATCATCTTGTTGGTGCTCTTTAAATCATCATTTCTAGTGTTTTTCTTATCTAAGTGAGTTTTAAGAAGGTACATATAAAATTTTCTTAAAAATCACTTTTCCTTTTCTTAATGTTGAAATTTTTTTTGGGTAAACAATGTTGAAAAATACTTTCAAACACTAGATATCTGAAAAACTGTGAAATTCACTTTAAGTATTTGTGTTACATCCTACAAGTGTGAGTTCGTCAAATGTGTTCATAGTTTATTGGTAGCATACTTAAAACTTGATGCCAGATTATATTAAATGTGTAATCATATCAAGTTGAAAATTATCGGGAATGGAGGAAGGGGGGAAATTTCATAGAAGAATATGCTCCAAAAGTTATGAAACTTTGGGAGTGTTCTTTTTTACCAAACCTGCATGATTTAGTTGTGAGTTAAATTGTAAAAATCCATTCAATGTCACTTTTGATTGAAACTTATTAATAGACAAGAGATTTGGTAGAATAAAATAAAACAATATTTATACATATGGAAGATGACTTATTTTTAAGATCTTACACGATTAGTAGTGTAAATTTGTAGGCTGTTAGACTTCTGATATTTTGGTCAAGTAAAATATATTCATCTAGTACCTTCTTCCCTCTCGCTAGAACATTTAGAGAGTCGTACATTACACAATGTTTTTATTAAGTGAAAATTTCCTTGTCTATCACCTTCTTCCCTGTTAGTATTGGGATTTGATTTTGCATTTGAATTTTATCTAACTAACATCGGTTCTGTGTTTTGATCTGACAGTCGAGGCAAAAAGCTCTAGCGGATTTACATCAAATGCAGACTGTGCATGTAAGTATCTAATTTTCATAATTGTTGCAATCATCAACCTCATATTGTTAAGGTGTCTACACAATCAAGATTAGTTCCTCCTTTTTTGTGGTCCCGACATCTGTTATTGTGTCAACTTCTGATAAAGGTCTTTGTCTCTTTTGAAAATTACTGATATTCTGGAATTATTCTGTAGATTGAAGTGATCTATGATAGATGTTTTTGGTGTATATCATTGCTTTCCCTCTAATAAAAACTTAGCCAATTCATGGTATTCATCTTTGAACTCCAAAATGAATTTATTATCATCTGTTTATGGTAGTATGGGGAGATGCCTTGTGCAGAAATTTTGAGATTTGTCAAGAGAAAAAACAATGGAAACTTATATGGAGCATTAATTTTCATGATGGATGCATCTTACTGAACATTGGGTTGAGTTTCTGTTATCAAGGAGCATCAGATGGGTCCTTTATACTATTTAATAGTTTGACCCTTTAGACTTTTGGATGTTCTGTTCCACAGGGTTTTCTAATGACTAAATGTTTGTTTTTTGCCAGCTTGAGAAGCTGAGTGACACCCAATGCACACCTGAATCACAGCTGAAGTTCATCATTGAGGCCTGGCTTCAGGTAAATCTAGCATTTCATCATCAGTCATGTGCAAACCGTTGCTTCTTTTTCTCTGCAAAAATTGAAGGTGTTATTTTTCAATTACTTTCTGTATTCTTGCGATTGAATTAGAAAATATGAAAAGATCATAATTTTGAAAATTTTTGTCTAAATACTGTTTGGTTTTGGTTTTAGATACTGTTAGTTCTTAGAGAATTGGGGCATTTTTGGGCTTTCGGCCTCTGTATCATATATCATATGCTATATTTGTATTGTGACATTGGTCATTTCCTCAGAACCTGGTCTGAACCACACACAATTAACTGTCCCAAGTCCTTATTTCTCTAGCGAACAATCTGTTTTATATATATATATATATATATATAGTCAATCTCTGGTGCTGACTTCTTGAAGTTTTTGATGAGTGGACCGAAGTTCAGCGACTAGGACATTTGCACTTGAGAATATTGATACACATATTAGCAATATTTTTAATTTATGGTTAGAAATTGGTATTAAGAAAGTGGGAGTGACTTATCAAAGCATTCTTCTACTACGCAAATAGTTAAATGTGTTGTTAAACTTACGATCTTATAATATACATTTGCAGATAGTCGAATGTCGAAGAGTTCTGAAATGGACCTATGCATATGGATATTATCTACCTGAGCATGAGCATGCTAAGAGACAGTTTTTTGAGTACTTGCAAGGTATCTATATTTCTAAAAACAGTGGTGGGAATTGAATGAAAATTGTCTTTGTGCTTTATTTTGACTACTTTGCTATGCAATGACCTTTGGTTCTATATAGGTGAGGCGGAATCAGGTTTGGAAAGGCTTCATCAATGTGCGGAGAAGGAACTACAACAATTCCTCAATGATGATAGCCCATCAAAAGAGTTTAATGACTTCCGTACAAAGTTAGCCGGGCTGACCAGGTACTTATCACATTGAAACTATGCTAATGTTACCAACATATAGATATGTAATGTTTCATGTTATAACATATAAAGGATGTATAACTGGTTTTAATTTTGATTCCATCATCGTGAATAACATTTACTGTTTTTTATTTTATTCTTGTTTCTTTCTTCTTAGAACTGGGTTTCAGTTTTAGTATAACATGAAATATTCCATTTAAAAAGCACCACAGAGGTTATTTTGGCCAATAGAAAATCCCTACATCTATTCTTTCTGCGTGAATTATTTTATTACTTGGTGTCAAAACCTTCTGATTACGCACTTCTCATTTTCAACTGCAACAGTGTGACTAAAAATTACTTTGAGAACCTGGTCAGAGCCCTAGAGAATGGCCTAGCAGATGTCGACTCCCACGCAGCTTGCAGCAAGGCAGGTATCTCAAAACCTCCACCGGCTAGCAAAGGTAAAAGTGGGAGAGGAAAAGGGAGTGGTAGAAGCAGTGGTTCTCACGATGCGGGTAGATAATCTTATATCTGTTATACCTTCAACATACCCAGTTGTGTCAGCAGTTGTTTAGAACATCCCATCTTGCGTGCTCTACTCGGAAAGAAACCTTTCCGGCGATTCTCTAGTTAGGGAATTCTTGGTGTAGGTAATGGTGGCTCCATCGTTTGTTGTGTATCTTTTTTCTTGGGTTTGATCTCTTCCTTCTTTCCGGAGGCTGTTTAACATGTAGAAGTATGTAGGCATGAACGGAGTGAAGAAAATGAGCCTCTTTTTCTATTCAATCGTGTGTTGGAGAGCACCATAATCTGTGATTTCTCATGTATATATATCTACATAATGAGCTTCAGCAAGTTGTGTTAATATATTATATATTTGACCGTACCGGAAACTACTCATATGTATAAAATAATATATATAAATAGCCTAAATTATCTGCTTTATATAATCTTTGTTCCCTTACATGTTTTAGATTTATAAGTATTGCATTCATACGTGTTGCTTTCCAATGAATTATTGTATATGGTTGTACTTACTTTATTCTATATGAAGGATTTTGTTCCCATACTCAAACGATACCCTTCATGAAAGTTCTAGTTAGTGGTTCAGTATTACAAATCTATCTTTTATTAATTGAGTAATGTTACATTTACAAAGAAATCTTATAAAGATCTCTATAAAAAGTGATGTGGTAAAAAATGAATGGAAGAGTGAATATAATAAGTTTTATTCTTTCACTTATTTTTTATTACTTCACTTCTTCTACTTATTTTTTATTACTTTACTTTATATGAAAATTTTTACAAGATTTTTTTTTATAAGTGTAATATTTTTGTTTATTGATTGTTGCATAATTTGTATTACGGAAAGTGTTGCTGATTGTGTACTCCGATTCTTTAATCCTTATTAAGGTCAGGTCTCTAATAGGTTATTTATATTGTGAAGGGTTAGTACCCCTATGGATTTTTAAGGTGTATTTGTTTTATTATTTTGGAAATAATATTGGGTAGTTGAATAGGGTGAGTATTATGAGGTAAAATTTAAAAATTAACAAAAAAATCCCTTAGGTTTGCTAATTTAACTAAACACCCTAATATATAAAATTTTTGTAAAATAATAAAAACATCCTCACCCACCTACAGTGTTAGATTCCAGTCACTACCGTCGGAATTTGGCCAGAAAATGACATTATGACCCAAACCGGTCGGATTTGACCGATCGTGCATTGATATCGCTTTTTTTGGTTAGATCTACCACATATCTGGTTGGAAAATGTCAGATCTACAGCTAAATTTGGCCGTTGACGGTCGCAAAAGGCCAAATTTGGCCGCAGGCGATCGTAAAAGGCCAGACTTGGCCGTTGACGGTTGCAAAAGACCAGATTTGGCTGTTAGTGACGGTCAAAGATATGGTTGTCGTTGTTGGTCAACGACCAGATCTACTGTGGATCTGATAGGAAATTGTCAGATCAGCAGATTATCGGCCAATTCCGATCGTTTTTACGCTGTTGTGACAGATTTCAACAATTGTCGACGGTGGTTGTCGGAATTTGGCAACTATGGGTGGGTGAGGGTGTTTTTGTTAATTTTTAAACCTTTTTTTCTAGGGGTGTTTAATTAAATTAATAAACTTAAGGGGTCTAAAAGTAATTAAAAAAATAGAATAGTATTTCCCAAATAATTAAACAAACATGTATTTTGGGAATATGATTGGAAATATGATAGGGAATAATAAAACAAACGCACCCTTAAATTTCAAGCATCTCACTCATTTTCAGAATACATTTAATATCTTCTTTTAAGAGGCTTTACATATTTATTAAGGGTTTTTTTTTTTTTACTTTATGTAGGTAGGTATTTTATGTAGAATTATTTGATTGTTTTGGCTTTTGAAGTGGGAGGTATAGCTGAAGCAAATATTTGATAGTACAGATTCATTCTTTATGTTTAAAAAAAATGAAAAATAGAGTCTAAATCATATTATGGTGGCCAAAATCAAATGGAAAGTTGTTAATTTACCAAAAAAAGAAAAAACTAAAAATAATTATTGTCCCTTCATTTTCAATTCACATATGATTTTGCAACAATCCCGATTATTCTACGAGAAACTTTAAAGATGATATACTATGTATCCTCCTGCTTTGCAAACAAATGGAACAATTACATTACACTTTAATCGAAGCTTGTTTATTTGGGAGTTTCACTAATTCCATTGATTTATCTTTGAATAATTTGATGCTCAATGCGTTTAGGAATACCCTCGAATATTGCCTTGAAGCCATCTTCCAATCTGTCCCGGATTTCATCATTGCCTTAAACTCTTCAAAACTTATTCGACCATCCTGTTCAACATCAACAATGTATTTGATGATTTAGCAAGTGTTAGAATGTCATGGGTTTGTTTCAAATGTTTCTGAAAACTGTTTTCTCATATAGTCTTAAAATGTAGCATATAGTCATAGGAAAACAAATTTCAAATACTATATCAAATGATAAAAAAATATATATTTACTTCTCAAACATCAAAGCGTTTTCAAAATCATTAATCACTAAGATGATCATACAGGATATATGTATGTCGAAAAACAAATGCGTTTCATTTAGAATTGTAAAGAAATTTTTAGAAAATGGGTATGTTTTCGGAACAATTTTCTGATACAATCCTAAAATGTATCAAAACAAAAAAAACTCTACAGAGATGATCATGCAAGATAAATACAAGTAAAGTGAGAAGGATTACCTTATCTAAATCGACATCCAACAAAATGTCATGAATAATCTGTTCATTGTTGGGAACAAGATTATCCTCTAGCAGTGCTTCTCTCAATTCATCAAACTCAATAAACCCGCTTTGATTCTTATCAAAGTAACTGAAAGCCTGAGACAGACTGTCATCATTGCCGATTTTTTTCAGGTGAACTGACATTGTCACAAACTCCTCACAGCTCAGACACCCATCTCCATCCATATCCGCCTTTTCATCACAAAATAAACACAATTTTATTTTGTATGTATATATATATATATATATATATATATATATAGAATGCATTGTAGAAGAAAAGAAGTCATGAATAAAAAGAACTCACAGCTTCCATTAACAATTTGACATCAGGATCAGAAACTTTATGCCCAATCATATTGAGACCATCTTTTAGCTCATCAAATGACAAGTCTCCAGTGTTGTCTGTGTCCATCATGTCAAATATCTTCTTTAATCCTGCTAATTGATCATTTGGCAAGTTGTCTGCTACCACCTGAAATCACCCACCACCACCATCAGAATTTCAATTCATTTTGAAGAAACATAGAGCCATGCATTTCATTCTACCACCGTGTTATATCACTAATTAAGCATCATAGAAATTCCCCAGAAATTCTTCAGGGTGATGGTTGGGTGCTCGTACATAATTTATAAATCTATTATGGTTAGACATACGTACTTATATTTGTTTCATCGAAGACTTTCCTACAATTTTTTTTTTTTTTTTGAAAAAATATTAGTTGTAACCGCAAATGTGATTAATATGTATTTATTTTTGTGAAAATGTATACATGTCATGCAGAGGCTTAACAGCTATTGGAGATGATAAAACAGCTAGCAGCGTAGCACTACTCAACCATATAATCGTTCTTAATTATTAGATTAATCGTGATAACTTTAGCAAGTTGATAGCATATTACATCTACTACGATTAGATAGGTGTACATACATTTATTTCGTTGAGATTTTTTTTCTTCTGGTTTTTTATTTGAAAAATGTATGATTGTTCTTGATTATTAGATTGATGTGATAATATTATCAAACGTAAAATACACCGAAAATGGTTGAGAGAGTACTTACTCTTAGAACTTTCTTCTTGAACTTATTCATCAAGGAGAAATTCTTAATCCTTGATGCCACATTTTCTCCCAGGGAGATATTAGGAGCATGGTTCTCATTTTGTATCCAAGGGTTCTCTTCACAAAACATGGCACAGAATCATTAGTTCACTCATAAAACAAAAACGCCTTCTATTGAAGTGTCTTAAAAACTTATGAATAATTTAAAACGCATCTCCTTTTAATGTAGACCAATAAAAGAACGTACCAAGAACTTCTTGAATTGTTAAGCGATTGTAAGGATTTGCATCAAGCATACTCCTCACCAATTCTTTTGCTTCTTGAGAAATCTTTGGCCATGGATCCCTCTCAAAATCTATTTTCCCTTTAATTATTGCATGCGCTATTCCCTCCTCAGTTTCTGCACTCATTCATAACAAAATCCAAATAATAATGGCACCCACAAAAAAAAAAAAAATAAAATAAAATGACCTGTTCAAATGTTACACTTCATATCAATTTTTCGTAAATGCATCGATATAATTCAACTTATAAGACATAATTAGAAGATTTTTTTCTTAACATATGTTCTTAGAACAATATGTTTCAATGTGGTTCTTAACGAATATATGGAAATAACAAATGTTTTCTCAAATTTCACCAAAATCATACCAATATACATTTTAAAGAAACTTGCCTGCCCAAAATGGAGGAACTCCACAAAGCAAGATATAAAGGATTACACCAGCACTCCAGACATCAATTTCTGGTCCATAACTCCGCCGGAGAACTTCCGGCGCCATGTAATACGGGCTTCCGACGATTTCACTGAAGCGTTCATCTGCCACACAAATTTAAAATTCAAATATAATTCTGAAGCTAAAAAAAAAAAAAAAAAATGCATAAGCAAGCTATTATTTAGTTAAATGCATAGCCTTAATTACCTGGTTCAAAAAATATGGAGAGGCCAAAATCAATTGCCTTTAGTTGGGAGTTTTCACTGGCATCGGCAAACAAAAAGTTCTCCGGTTTTAAGTCCCGATGTATTACTCCATTTTCATGGCATACCTGCAACAAGGATTATTAAGTAATCATACTTCAAAGTGACAAAGAATAAGAAATAAGAGATCAATCATTTGTAAAATCTCTAGAAAATGTCAAACTAAAATTTCTCATTGTGGTTTTTGAAAAATTGTGGACGAAATTCAGATATAAACATATCCCGAATATTATTCTTTTTCACGAAAAAATATTATTGAATTGCAAAAAAAGGGTGAAACAACAATCACATAGCACGAAAACACAACCAAAATCTTTGCAACAAATATTCCTGGACAATCTGACAAAACATCTCAATTTCTCATTTATATATCTTATCATTTTTCAATTTTAACATGGAATGTAAAACAATATGTACATAGTCAATCTTAATCTTGGGAACAACTGATCTACAAATTTTGATTAATTCCCCTCTACAACAATAATTCAAAAGAAAATTAGAGAACTGCATTTTACCGAGATTTTAAAATCATATCCTAATAATTAAAAAAAAAAAAAAAACAATATTTCAATCCATAATATATAATACACCCAACAGTCACAGAAAATTTTACCTTGACAATCTCCAAAATGGTCTTGGCAGTTTTAGCAGCAGCACGTTCAGTGTAATGTCCCTTAGAAACGATCCGATCGAAAAGCTCGCCGCCTTCGCAGAGCTCCATAACCAAATAACAAGCCTCTTTATCCTCATAAGCCTCCTTGAAGCTCACAATATTTGGATGTTTAGGCAATCGCCTCATGATATCCACCTCCCTCCTCACATCATCCACATCCACCTCAGTTTTCAGCTTCTCCTTTGTAATCCTTTTGCATGCATAAGTTTCACCTGTCCCTAATTCAACACATTGAAACGTGATCCCGAACTCGCCGCGCCCTAATTCTTTTCCAAGTTTATATTTCTCATAGATATTGCCCTCGTTAGGGTTCGAAATAATATTCTGGATCTGTACATTCCCCATAAGCTTATCTGTCAAAGACATTGCTTTGAAACTTTGTTTCGGTTCTTGTACAGGTACTACTTCATCGGAAACGTGTTTCGAGGACGGGTTTTTCGTGCTCTCGTAGTTATGATTTCCATGTCGTTTCTTGCTCGTAGCACTAGATTTTCTAGTGTAGGATATGCAGTTTCCCATAAGATATTAGGCTATGAATGCTTGGTTAGGGTTGTTTTTGGGATGATAAGAATTTTTCAAGCTAAGAGCAAGAACATCCCATGGGAAGCTGACATCGAATTGAGAATATTGTCGAGAGAGCTTTTTCCCATTTTCTGAGAGAGAGAAAAATAGAAAGTCTAACAGCAAAGAGAGACTAAATTTAGAGAAGATAGTTGAACAAGTTTGAAAAGTAGTTATAGGATTCTTTCATTTTGGTTAGTCCCGCCATATTTTTAGGAAATGTTTGAACATTGTACATATTTAACAGTTTTGATGAGTTTTCATAAAAAAAATCATATAAAAGAATAATAATAAAAACTAAAATATTTTGAGAATGAATGTTTGAAAGCTGACCCGAAGACACTATTTATGCAATTAAGTGATGTAAAGGTAAATTAAGGAAAGAAAAATTATGTGTTCAATTAGTGAACAAAATCTTTCTATAGTCCTCATGAAATAATTGAATATCTAACTAAAACATAATATGAAAAAAAAAAAAAAAATACAGACTACAAAATCTGAGGATCATAGAGAGGAGGATTTTTTTTTTATTTTTTTAAATAAATTAAAATTAGAAACTTTTTCAAGGGCTCAAATAATACTATTAATTTTGTTTCGTTTTTAATAACACTACTGTTAATTGTAATGCTATATTTATAATAAAATATTCAATATATACCTTTAGTTCGATATGATTATGAGTAATACATCATATTTAGTTCTCTTCTATAGTTAGACAAAAATTTAAGGGGGAATTGAAGATTTGATTTAAAGGGGTCTTGTTGTTGACTTTAGATCCTCTCTATATTCTGTGGGTGAATTGAAAAGTGGCTTTGGCTATAATACAACCATATAAAATTGTGCTGATGTGAATTTCCGTACCAACTACAGCGTCGAGACGAAAACACATGTCAACTAGAGATATTCGGTTGACTCTGGGGAGAACCGAATAGGATGGGTGCGTGATTTCTGGGAAACAACAAAGAAGACTCAACCCACACACGGTGGTGGCCAAGGTAGTAATGCGTCTCCCGAAGGATGGTGTGAAAACTAGATGTTTTTAAAATGGTTTCAGCCAAGAAACGAATAAGGCCTATTGCCATTGATATTTTATTTGGTCATTCGACATTGGGATACAAGAGGAGGGAGGGGGGAGGTGGTGGTGGTGTGGGGTGGGGTGTGTGGGATGGTGTTGGGGTTTTGGAGCTGATGTTTGGACCACAGAGAAATTTTTCTTCTTCTTGTTTGGTCCCTTTTTGTTGTCCTCCCCCCTCCTTCTCCTTTGGCCTTTGCCACTTTTAACGAGAGAGAGAGAGAGAGAGGGGGCTTCGGAATGTTATGATGATAAGTGCTTACATCTAAACTAATTCCACTAAGCTAAATGATGAGACATATTATCTTGACACCCAGATTCCACTAACACAAAACTCCTTCCAATAACAACCAACACAATAATAGTAAAAATAATTAAAGACTTATTATAACTTGGCTAACTTGGTGTGAGCTAGGGGTCGGTGGGTTTAAGTACCCACCCAAATTCAAAAGAACCGAAACCGATCAGTTCCTTGGATTTGGAACGAGAACGGGAACCGGAGCCGATGATTCTAGTTTCAGTTCCTAGAAACCAGGAACCGGAATCTAAAACATTGGTTCTAGTTTTGATTTCGAGTACCCGAGTTAATTTCAATTACCCCTTGCCACTTTTAAAGAGAGAGAGGGCTTCTTACATCTAAACTAATTCCACTAAGCTAAATGATGGGACATATTATCTTGACACCTAGACTCCACTAACACAAGACTCGTTCCAATAACAATCAACACAATAACAGTAAAAATAATTAAAGACTTATTATAACTTGGCTAACTTGGCGTGAGCTAGGGGTGAGCGAGTTTGGGTACCCACCCAAATTCAAAAGAACAGGAACTGGTTAGTTCCTTGGATTTGGAACGGGAACCAGAACTGATTGATTCCAGTTCCTAGAACCCAAGAACCGGAACTTGAAACATTGGTTCCAATTCCGGTTCCAAGTACCTGGGTTACTTTCAATTACCCCCACTTTTTAAAAAATGACAAATAAACCCTCTAAAAACTGTAACATACCCCCAAGAGTTTATAAACATTACAATTTAGTCTCGATTTCTACTTGGATATCCGGATCTTGGTTCTGGTTCCAAGTCATGGTTCTTGCAGAGGTGAAACCGAAACTAGTCGGTTCTTGATTTCTAGAACCAAAACTTACCCTATAAGGGTCGTTTCCGGGTAGCCATAGGTTTCGGTTCGGGCCGGTTCTTTTGCACACCCCTAGTGTGAGCACATATCATAGTCATGTCATTTTATATGTCTTTATTAGACTTATTTTTATTTTTTATAACTTCATTCATTCTTATTCGTGAAGTCATTTTATACGGAAGATTTTTTGTTTTATATGTATAATATTATTCTTTAAATATGTTTTAATTTTACCAATAAAAATATAGTATTACGTGTCTATTGCTACAAAAATAATGTAAAATATTCATAAAATTTATTATTTGCTTGATTGGAGGAAACCATCTATTTTTATCAATAACAAAGAGTATTTCCTTTTTTTTTTTTACACGGTAGAAGGCAGGGCCCCTGCTGTATATCTTCTGGAAGGATTGCTTCAATTATTATCTATGTTCAGAATAGTATTGCGGTCATGCATGTGGGCTCATTATTATGTGAGAAAAATAAATAAATAAATAAACTAGTAGAACTGCAAAGGGCTTTCCCTAAACAAGCTCAATTATTGTTCCAAATATCTCACACTATTACATTTTCAGATTTATTATCTCATCCTTGAGAGAGGAACATCATGAAGCGGCACCAATGATGTTAGTATAACTCATATTAATATATTATATAAGCCTCTGTCCACAGTGCAATCGCAATTTCTATAGTGATGCCTAATAATTGATATAATTGTTCAAATAGTAATTACTATAGTATTGATTTTACTGAAAATTAGAAATAGGTTCATCAATTATAAAAGACGACACCCAAAAAATCACCTATACCATAATTTAATTGATTTATAGACTTTATCAAAAAAAACCGATCATTAAATTATATAAACGTATCTATTTAATGTATTTAATGTAACAGATTTACCAGAGAACCTAAATGAAGCCATATAATTTGGCAATAATTTGATCATGGTATAATGCAGAATATATCCGTATATGCAATAACTACTGGCCATTAGATCTTGACTCAGAACATAAACCCTGGAGAAAAACACAAAGGGTGAAAATTGAAGGTATGTTATACCCCCAATATGATCCGTGAGATCTACAGGTTTTACAGGGAGTATCGTTACCCACTTCAGCGACCAATACTTTTCCAGTTAAGTAGTAAACCCTAAAATGATTATATCATCAATGAAAATTTCCTCGAAATTATAACCATTCATTTGAACAATCAATCAAGATGAACAAACATCAAGAATAAATAAATATGGCTAATTTAATCAAGGGTTTATAATAGCTAACAATTCCCGAATTTGTACATAGAAATATAAACAAAATTCTCTGTAAACTAAAAATTAAGCACACCAAATCTCCTCCTATTTCCAGATCTTGATCTCCTTTTCTACAAAAGCAAAATCGCCATATTAAAAAGAAAGTCAATCTCTCATTTTGGAGATGTTAGATTCAGAAGCTAACGGTACAAGTGATGGAAAAGAACAATCTTGAGGCAACCAATATTGAACTCCTTTGTTGCTCCATGAAGACTCCAAAACAACCAAGAAAAGATAGAAGAAAAGAAGCAGTGAGATGGCCACACAGAGATAGAACTCTTCTGTGAAATTGAAGAACGACAACATTTTTCAGAGAGCTGTGGGAGAAAACAGAAGATAATTTATAAGATATAGTATCGTTTGGTTCTATATATATCTAGAAAAAAAGATTCAATGTATACAAGCTTGTCAGAAAAGTGATGGAAGTTGCGAGAGAGTTTATTAATTCATTGAATCTCAAAAGAAAGTTGGTCAAGTGGTGTTATTTGATTAGTACTTTATAATGTAGCTAATTTAATTTGTCGTTTTCATGCATGATGAGCCCATAGATGCACGTTCACTAAATCTTTATAGAATCTACAGTGTATTTATAAACGCATTAAATTAGGACCAGGACCAGGTTATATGTACCAACGTATCACCCACTCCATTGGTAGATTCATTATTGAGGCAGAAAATTAATTTAATTCTAGTGCTTGAGATATTATAAGTTAATGGTTTAATAATTGCTGAATTGGTATTAAAATAATAAGTATTAGATTTCGTTGGAATAATGGTTAAAACTTGTAGGTTTAAATACCACTTTTCCACCCTAAGTTTGGGGAATGGATTGCCACCTCTCAGTTTGGAAACTACATTAAACTTAATGGCGCAAAGGCACTAATGCGGTTTCACTTAGTAAATGTCAACACATTAAATTAAGTGTTTGAGCGAAAAATGTGACGCCAAAACATGAAATGATTCTTATTACCATTTGTTTTTCTTCTTCTTCTTCTTCTTTTTCTTCTTCTTGTAATCAAAGTGTTTGAGTCAGTTTATGTGCATCTCGATTAATCCTCGTGAAGGATTAGTGGAGTCACCCACCGCCATGGCCCCCCAATTAAATCGCGGATACTCAAATGGAACCATTGCCTATCCACCCTATTTTTAATTTGTCCTAACCATCTACGTTGATCCATTAATTTATTGGGCATTTTTATTCTCATCCAACATAAAATAAAAACAAAAGCCTAATCAAACCCTAAAATCTAATATTCTAAACCCATGAATTTCTCTTACTTAAGTTTATAATACACAAACATCAAAATGCTAAAATTAAAAATGAATAAGGTAATGGAGTCGGTTCAATGGGTTGAAGTGGAGGAGATAGAGTTGGAATGGAGAAGATGTGGATGATCTTTTCAAGGATTTGTTTTCAGGAATTTCATTTAGCGTTTA